GATTCAATAAAAGAGTAGAAAGATTCAATAAAAGAGTAGAAAGATTCAATAAAAGAGTAGAAAGATGCAATAAAAGAGTAGAAAGATTCAATAAAAGAGTAGAAAGATTCAATAAAAGAGTAGAAAGATTCAATAAAAGAGTAGAAAGATTCAATAAAAGAGTAGAAAGATTCAATAAAAGAGTAGAAAGATTCAATAAAAGAGTAGAAAGATTCAATAAAAGAGTAGAATAAAAAAATTTCCGCCATGTAATGGAGGGAGGCGGGGGCCGTAATGACGGAAAACTAAAATTTTAACGAACGATTAAACAAGAACGCTCCAATACTATGAATATGTGAGTGCTACGCAACGATAAATTTAATTTAAATTACGTTTTATGTTCTAGAATATTTGTAAGTAAAACGAGTCAACGTTCATCAAGTATTTACAGCTTTTGTATTGAACTAAAAGCCTGCAGGTGTTGGCTTAAATGCATGGCGTAAGCCACCATCAGAAGCGGGTAGTCCACTCATGGACACAACTCAGAGCAATGAGTGAGACATTGTCTGCCTCGTGCATTTGCATTTTAGAAAATTGCATTTTCTGCCTCGTGTGAGTCATGCTGACCCAGTTTGATACGACGAATGGACGTATCAGTGCTCCGCCCTCTGGTACAACATGATCCATTTATTTCTCTGGATGTGATTACTCACGCCGCCCCGCGTAGGTGTTTCCTCGGCCGTGAGCATCTTGAGGGTCGTCGTCTTGCCGGCGCCGTTGGGACCGAGCAGCCCGAGCACCTCCCCCGGCCGCAGCGCCAGCGACACTGACTCAACCGCCAGCAGCTGACCGGCCGGCGCCTTGCCGCGCCGCTTCTTCTCGTCCGTCTTGAAGCTCTTGCCGAGGTTCTGGAATATCATTCAATATGAAGCCATATGAGGTAATTTGGAGCCATATGGGATAATTTGAAGCCATATGGGTAATTTGAAGCCATATGGGGTAATTTGAAGCCATATGGGGTAATTTGAAGCCATATGGGGTAATTTGAAGCCATATGGGGTAATTTGTAGCCATATGGGACAATTTGAAGCCATATGGGGTAATTTCTAGCCATATGGGGCAATTTGAAGCCATATACCGCCACCCCATCACCACCAGCCCACCATCATCATCACCACCACCACCACCACCACCACCACCAGCACCACCCCCCCATCACCCACATAGACGACAGCGGGGGTTGGTGCCCCCGTCTTGGCGAGCTGCTCGGCGCGGCGACGCTCGTCTTTGACGTCATCGTCCTCGTGGGGGGACTCGACCACCTCCTCCCCCCACACCCCCTCGTCGGGGGCGTCCGGCACCTGAGGGGAGGGGAAGTGTGGGATGTGCAGGAGGGGGAGTGTAGGATCTGCAGCCTAATAAACAAAAACTAAAATAGTTACTAATAATTGGTAATTAGTACAGCGACCAATTGTTGGTTTCTATCAGCGAAGAGAAATTAGTTTCTATAGAAATGAAGACATTGTTTTCGCATCAATATAAAATCATGTAATAAAGACCAAAAATTGCGCTTGCCGGCGACTAAAATTTGTTAAAGATATAACTCAGTACTCACTGCAGTGAGTGACAAAGAGCGCATTTTCTCGTCGACGAAAACGTGAAAGCACGGACAGACAGACAGACAGACGGACAGACAGACAGACTGACAGTCAGACGGACGGACATGACGAGCACAATAGCGCATTTTTCCATAAATGAGAAATGCGATAAGAACACGGCAACTCACGGACAGGAAGAAGGCGTCCCGCAAGCTGCCGCCGGTCTTCAAGGCATCGACGGCACGCAGCACAAAGTAGTAGAAAAATGCGTTAAAAATGTTCATGAAGAACATGAGCATTATTTCCACGGTGCAGTAGTCAGACATGGTTACGTCTTCACACGTCATCCTCAGGGAGCACTCGAGGTACACTTTGTTGATGTAGTACAGAGTACCGAAGGGTATATACCAGGGCATAGTTACGGCAAACACGCAGTGTGTGATGAGACCAGGGTCCGTTAATCCTTTTTCAACCAGAACATCAACCAAGGACACTGCAGTGTACAGCACAAAACCAATCGTGGTTGCTAAGTTTGGGTAAAACTGCCGCGCAGTTTCGGTTTTATCGAAAAGATACGAGCAGGCACCAGCATACACCAGCGCACTCGGCAGATACATCAAATACATCACAGCCAAGGTGGTGAACGCGGCCGGCATCGTGAGAGAAGCAACACCAAAAGCCTGGACGATGACGAGCAGACCGATGTAGGAGATGAAGTAGACAACCGTCAACACCAGGAAAAATGAAGAGAAGTAAAGGTTGAAGCTCACGCCGTTCAGACGAAGCAGGTTGCGGGCGTGGATCTGCGTCGGGATTTTAGATTAGCTTCTGGCAAACGCACACGTGAATGGATGATTAAAGTTCGTAGTCATGCATGCATTAATAGTAAAAAATATTAATTGGGTGATAATAAAGGTTAAAAATTTGCATCGATAGTAAAGGTTATTAAATCGATGGTAATAAAGGTATGTAACTAGGACCAATAGTAAAAACTATTCAATGGGTAATAATAAAGGTTAAAACCTGCACCGATAGTAAAGGTGATAAATTGATGATAATAAAGGTTCGTAATTAGAAACAAAAGAAGAAACTATTCATTGGCTGATGATAAAGATTCATAACCTGCACCGATGGTAAACGTTATTGAATCAATGATAATAAAGGTTCCTAACCTGGAGCGATATTAGAAACTATTACTTTGGTGATAGTAAAGGTTGTTAAATCGCTGATAATAAAGGTTCCTAACCTGGACCAATATTAAACACCATTACTTGGGCAATAATAAAGGTTGATAAGCCTTGCCTCCCGGTCCTGGACCATGTCGATGACGAGCCCCACGGGGACGAGGGTGTAGACGAAGCCAATAAGCATGGGCGCGAAGAAGGAGCTCACGTCGAACTCGATGGACGCCTGCAGGGGCGGCAGCATGTGGCTCTGCGTCCTGATGGGCTCAGTGTTGGGCCCGTGGGTCCTGGCATACAGGCACGAATATCTTCATTTCGGCCGCCTATATTAAGGTAATACTGGCGGCTAATATTACCTTAATATTGTCGGCCAATATTACCTTAATTTTGGCCGCCAATATTATCTTGATTTTGGCGGCCAATATAACGATAATATTGTCAGCCAATATAACATTAATATTGTCAGCCAATATTACCTTAATTTTGGCGGCCAATATTACCTTAATTTTGGCCGCCAATATAACCATAATATTGGCGGCCAATATAACCTCAAGGTCTTAAAACTGTCTTTGGGGTCTTATTATTGGCAGTCAAAAGAATTTTTTGAAATCCTTCAACTACAAACTTCTTCAAGACCACTCACTGCTGCAGGACTCAAGACCACTCACTGCTGCAGGACTCAAGACCACTCACTGCTGCAGGACTCAAGACCACTCACTGCTGCAGGACTCAAGACNACAGGGAGGTAATTAAACAAAGAGGTAATTAAACAGGGAGGTAATTAAACAAAGAGGTAATTAAACAGGGAGGTAATTAAACAAAGAGGTAATTAAACAGGGAGGTAATTGAACAGAGAGGTAATTAAACAGGGAGGTAATTGAACAGGGAGGTAATTAAACAAAGAGGTAATTAAACAGGGAGGTAATTGAACAGAGAGGTAATAAAACAAAGAGGTAATAAAACAGGGAGGTAATTAAACAGGGAGGTAATTAAACAGGGAGGTGATTAAACAGGGAGGTAATAAAACAGGCAAGTTTATAAACAGTGAAGTAATTAAAGGGCTGGTTATTAAACAGGGAGGCAATTAAACGCAGGTTATTAAACAGGGAGGTAATTGTAACAAATGTTTGAGGGGAAGAGCAAGTGAGGGGAAAGAGACCAGGAGGAAGGCTGAGTGCAGCACAAGTCTTCACAACTAAAATTACAGCATATATTCTTTGGAAATGTTGGATCGGTAATGAAATTACCCCCAAAATATTCATAACTGCAATCAAAAGAAATAAATAATGAAAGATTTAGGATTTGAATTGAACGCAAAAGTTAAATCTAACCTAACCCTGTCCCACTAATCCATACTTTAAAAAAAACGGTGAAAAATCTTGAATCGGCCCCAAGATCCATTACAAATATTCAAAATTGCAATCGAAAGAAATAAATAATAGATGATCTAGGATTTGAAGTGAACACTATAGTTAAGTCTAACTTAACCCAGTCCCACTAACACAAACTGCAAAAAATGGTGATGCCCGTGTATGGGTCATCCTGACTCAGTTTTCGCGACACAGTAAAACTGCGTTTCAGTCTCTGCTTGTGGTGTGTATAACTTTTTGGAACATACATTCCGTTAATTTGTTTGAGTGTAGTGGAAAGAGACACTCAGAGAAATGTGTCAGACTTTGTCCAGTCCATATGTCGATGCATATATTGTCCTTGTATGAGTCATCCTGACCCAGTTTGACGTCACAAAAAGGCGCGCTTTTCGCGCAGGAAGTGTATCACTATTTAGACAATATGACACACACATTAATTTTATTACTTTATTAAAATTATTATTATTTGTATAATAATTTTTATTATTATTCATAAATTTTATGAGCCATTAATTTAATAAATGATTTAAATAATTTGATTAATATTTTAAATAATTTAAATGATTTAAATAATTTAATTATTGATTTAAATAATTTATTTACTAGTTTAAATGATTTAAATAATTTAATTAGTGATTTAAATAATTCAATTAATGATTAATATGATTTAAATAATTTAATTAATGATTTAAATAATTTAATTATCGATTTAAACGATTTAAATAATTTAATTAATGTTCACCCAGTGATGGGGAAGCGAGCGACGTCGAGGGCGGCGATCTGTGGACGGCTGGAAAAGATGACGTCATAACTGCCGTTGTAATTTAGGGCGACGAGGGACGACGCGTCCAGCACAGCGTCCCAGCCGTCCAGCGCGTGGGCGGTGCCGTTGTGTAGGAGTAGCGTGTCGCCCCGCCCATGGAGCAGGTCTGGGGGCGACGAAGGGGGTTGTGAGGGGACGGTATTGTGAGGTGTGGGACATCACAGGCCTCAAAAAATATTTTCTTGCCACTAACCATAAAAAAATTTCTTGACACCAACCATAAAAAAATTTCTTGCCACTAACCATAAAAAATGTTTTTTGCCACTAACCATAAAAATTTTTCCTTGCCACTAACCATAAAATTTTTTTCTTGCCACTAACCATAAAAAATATTTTTTTATAACCATAAAAAAATTTTCTTGACACCAACCATAAAAAATATTTTTGTTGCCACTAACCATAAAACAATATTTTTCTTGATACCAACCGTAAAAAATATTTTTCTTGACAACAATCATAAAAAATATTTTTCTTGCCACTAACGATAAAGAAATATCTTTCTTGACACCAACCATAAAAAAATATTTTTCTTGCCACTAACCATAAAAAATATTTTTCTTGCCACTGACAATAAAAAAATATTTTTCTTGCCACTTACAACAAAAAATTTTTTTTCTTGCCAATAACCATGAAAAATATTCTTCTTGCCATTAAAATATAGGCAAAAGGGCGGCTTTCAGGTGGCCGATGAATAGCCAGCAGGCGGCCGGCGCTAATATATGCTCTGGCCGACCGCTGGCCACTCATGCTGCGGGATTAGACGGCCTCCATATTATTATTATTTGTTATACAAAGTTCACAAAATTTTTTCCAATGTCCGTGATTTGAAAATAAATACCTGGAATTGCATTCAAAATCTCAGACCGCTATTTTCTCAGAATCGCAGACCGCGCGGATGGAACAGTGATTAAATTTCAGAGCATCAAGATTGTAGCAGTGAATTGCGGGCTCGAAACCTCAGCAAGCTGTGGAAATTCTGCTATGTAAATAATCGGGAACAGATTTGTCATATTCAACGCCGACCTCATAAGTCCGTTAATTCCCCACAACCCCCTACCCCACCCGGGGCATGGACCTAGGACCTGCCGTAAAGTTGACGGACCTGCCGTAAAGTTAACGAACCTGCCGTAAAGTTAACGAACCTGCCGTAAAGTTAACAGACCTGCCGTAAAGTTGACAGACCTGCCGTAAAGTTGACACCCTGCAGTAGTAAAGTTGACAGACCTGCCGTAAAGTTGACAGACCTGCCGTAAAGTCGACGGACCTGCCGTAAAGTTGAGGGGGGTCTCGGTGACGGTGGGGGTGCCCTGGGAGTCGGCCAGGGCGATACCCCCCGCGGTGAACCCCAAGGGGAAGACCACCATGAAGATCACCGCCAGCGGCTCCCGCAACACCGCCGTCACGCGCATGCGCAGCAGCGCCTTGAACGCCTGCCATGCGCTGTACCTGTGGGGGCGTGCGCGTGTTATGCGTGGCATGTTATGCGCAGCAGCGCCTTGAACGCCCGTCATGCGCTGTACCTATGGGGGGCGTGGCGTGTTATGCGTGGGCGTGTGAATGCCCGTTTACACTAGGGGCAACGATATGGGCGGTCTGGCGCTTGCTGCAGCGCCCCACCGCCCACAACCGTTCACACTTATTTTTATATGCGGTAGCTCGCGACGGCGCGCTTCGAAGATTAGTTGCCAGTTAGACATCAGTGAGGATGGATGTATCCAAATTTGACCTCTGGGCCATTGTTCTCGGGTGTGCTGCTGTGATTACATTCATGGTCTNACCAGAAGCTGGGGCGACTCTAAACCAGAAGCTGGGGCGACTCTAAACCAGAAGCTGGGGCGACTCTAAACCAGAAGCTGGGGCGACTGTAAACCAGAAGCTGGGGCGACTCTAAACCAGAAGCTGGGGCGACTGTAAACCAGAAGCTGGGGCGACTCAAAACCAGAAGCTGGGGCGACTCTAAATTTTGTTAGGGTAGATCGTCAATCGCTTCGTTGCCCACAAGAAGCGCACGTAGAGGGGCGGTGAGGCGCTTGACGCCCGTGTGTTGCCCCTAGTGTGAACGGGCCTTTACATGCTGCGTGTTACGTGCTGCGTGTTACATGCTGCGTGTTACGTGCTGCGTGTTACTCACTCAACTTCCACTTCCTCGATGGCAAATCCCTTCTTTTTCCCCTCGACCCTCCGGGGGGCGGATGAGGCAAACTGCTCTTTCTGGAGCCCCTGGTCTGGAGGCTGCTCCACCAGGGGGACGGTGCCCCCTGACCCCTCCTGTGGGGGGTCAGGCTGTGGGTCCTCATCGCTGTTCAGAGACAGGAAAACCTGCACACATGTACGTGAATGAGACACCTGTACACATGTACGTGAATGAGACACCTGCACACATGTACGTGAATGAGACGTGCGCGTATGTACATGAAGGAGACACCTGTACACATGTACGTGAATGAGACACCTACACACATGTACGTGAATGAAACGTGCGCGTATGTACGTGAATTAAACACCTGCACACATGTACGTGAATGAAACACCTGCACACATGTACGTGAATAAAACACCTGTACAAATGTACGTGAATAAGACGTGCGCTTATGAATGAGATAAACAATAAAAAAATAAGTGAATGCAATAAAACGGAAACAAAAGCTATAGGTATATAAGAGCTATAAAACATATAACTGGGCGAGAATTACAGTTAACCAAGAAATTCGAGTAAAAAACTAGGAATCACTAGCAGTTTAACCTGGCACTAACAGTTGAGCACTATAGATAATCTTCAGGTTTGAAGATATTTATACAACATGCGTTAATTATCAAGTCATCTCCTTCTCCTTAAATTTAAAAAAACGCGTTGTTGCCCTCATTTAATATCCGTTTTTATCTTCAAATTAGAACAAACTTACAGTTAACATAATAAAATTATAGTAAGCCTTTCATGGAATCGAATTTAATTTTTATGACGCAGTCCCTCACTATCCCCCAATCTATAAGTAACGTGTTGCCATAAATAACGTGTTGCCACAAATAACGTGTTGCCACAAATAACGTGTTGCCACCTGCTCCAGCGTTGTCATGGTAACGCCGTAGTCTTCAATGGCGACGGTTTTGTGCTGGGGGGCGGCGCCCTTTGACCTGCACGCCTCCAGCAGGAGGAACATGGCGGGGAAGCGTTCAGGGGGCGTGTCGGGGAGCACAAAGGTCATCTCCTTGCCGTAGTGACGTACAAGGGACGCGTGGGGGACCTCCTGACGAAGGAGTGACGTCACCTCGTCAGCTGACGCGTCCTCACCCACCACCAGCCTGCGTCATCACAACGACTTCAATACGATAATAAAATTAATCTAATAAATCAATAGGCATCGAGCGTTGAAATAACGTTACTTTAACGTTTTTTTTTTAATTACGTTCTCAAGGAATAAAACACCAGGCATCAAACGTGGAAATAACGTCACTTCAACGTTTAATTGCGTTATCAAAGAATAAACCATCAGGCATCAAACGTTGAAGTAACGTTGTTTCAACGTTTTCACTACGGCATCAACTTGTAACCTACCAAGCAATTTACTGTGAAAAAAATGTTGATTTTCCGTTGTTTAAACGTAATTAACTTATAAACACCACCACGCAACAGCGAACAGACGTTGATTTAACGTTGTTTCAACGTTATCAAAAAGTAATAACCCACCAGGCATCTGTCGTTGAAATAAGGTTGATTTAACAACGTGCCTCACATTGTGATCAATGTTTTTTCAACGTCAAGAAGTAAGAAAAATAAATAATAAACTAATAATATTATAAAATAATTATTCTAATTAAAACATGTTTTCATACATATAAAAAATGTGTTCTTACATAAAAAATATAAATGTAATCTTATTTCTAGACATGGCGCTCACGTGAGATGGTAGCCGAGGCCGAACTTATTCTTAAGGAAGAGCGACGAGCCACAGCAGCGCAGCGCAATATTATATAATAATTAATTAACATTTAAAAATGTATTCTTACATAAAAAATACAATGTAATCTTATTTCTAGACATACCGCTTACGAGAGATCGTAATATTGTCCTTCATCACTCAATAGTGTACTTCATCACTATTAGAAAATAAATGTATGTATGTCCTATGATTAAAAATAAAAATGTATCCTTACTTAAAAAATAAAAATGTATTCTTAAATAAAAAATAGAAAAATGGCGCTCACGTGAGATGGTAGCCGAGACCGAACTTATTCTTAAGGAAGAGCGAGGAACCACAACAACGCAGCGCCCCCTTCGTCATGACGGCCTTACGGTCAGCCAACACGTCTGCCTCGTCCATGAAGTGCGTCGTCAGCAAGATAACCTTTTAAAGATTCAACATTATTCTAAATTTTGCGATTACCTTAAATAGATTCATGCAAACATCGTATCTTCTTTACACGATAATTTAAATCGTCCATGAAGTGCGTCGTCAGCAAGATAACCTGACGCCATATTGTCAAAGATTTAAGATTATCTTAAATCTTGCGGTATAATCTTAAATGAATTCATCCAAACATCGTATCTTCTTAAGATTATTTTAAATCTTGCGGTATAATCTTAAATGAATTCATCCAAATATCGTATCTTCTTAAGATTATTTTAAATCTTGCGGTATAATCTTAAATGCATTCATCCAAACATCGTATCTTCTTAAGATTATCTTAAATCTTGCGGTATTATCTTAAATGAATTCATCCAAACATCGTATCTTTTTTAAACAATAATTTGAAATCTGGTTCAATTGCACCACAAAAGCGGCTATACAATTCAGTGAACTTTTAAAGTGTACACAACATACAGACAAACATGGTTGTATTATACAAATTAATACGACACATTTGAATCTATCGTCATTGTACAAGATAGTGATGATTATCATTTTACAAGATTTTGACTGCCATCAAATAAGACAATGATGATCATTACACAAGATAATAATTAATTTCATAAGACAATGATGATCATTAATCATCACTAAATAGTGTCCATCACTCAATGCTGAGTGATTCATCATCGCTTACATAGTCTTTAAAGATTTGAGTCCTTTTAATGAAACAACATATCAACTGGTTATATGACAAAACAGACAAAAGTCTGTTATTTATTTATTTACTATATTTACTATGCGACTTTTGTCATATACTTCGCTCCCCTTATTCCAGTCATGACTGTTGGCTTTTATTGATGACTAATTTTTCTTGCAACTCGTTTAATGGTCTTTTGAGTTGGTTAACACAAAAATAATATCAATCATGATATAATAGTCTTGAAAAACCTAGTATATGTCTATGTAAATATCATTGTAAAAATAAATTACAAATTCGGATACTATGAAATTGTTATCACAAAAATATATGACTTAATATGCAAAAAACTGAATAATTTCATACCTTTAAAACAGGAAGTGAAGTTCTTAATACGGGCGTCGTCCAAAAAGAGCTGGAAGAGAAAATAAGGCGACATCAGAGAGCGAAGTAACGCTCAGGGCTGGCGTTACCAGTAACGACAGCTCAGGGCTGGCGTTACCAGTAACAACAGCTCAGGGTTGGCGTTACCAGTAACAACAGCTCAGGGCTGGCGTTACTAGTAACAACAGCTCAGGGCTGGCGTTACCAGTAACAACAGCTCAGGGTTGACGTTACCAGTAAAAACAGTTCAGGGTTGGCGTTACAGGTAACGACTGCTCACTTTCCTGACTGGTAGCGTGGCTGAAAAGTCAATTAAATGATAATATATATCTAGTTGACTAGCTCAAATATTGCATAGATATATTTAATTGGAATGACACAAAATTTCCTTTTTCAAATAAACTAATAGTGTAACTGACAGTTGACACAGCTGCTCGATATCCGTTAGAGTTCGATGCAACGCACAGCACAGCAATGCAGTTAAACATTTGAAGAAAGAAGCTAAGTTTACACAGATGAATTGAGCTGTGGACGTGGGCCCGATATAGTTGATATATTGATGGTAGTTAGTTAGTTTAGTGGCCACATGTTTACTAGCGCTTCAGCTATTTAGCTATCTCGCACCAAAACTCAAGATGAACATCACCAAAGAGGTGCAAGGTCTCAATTATCGAAAGATTCTTAAACAAATAAATAAATTGTTCATCACCCACAAGGGGCGGACGGTCTCAATTGTCTCAATCCCCCTAGGAGCGCGAAATCCCATAGGACTTCTGACGAGCACAGACACGCGTCAGAAGTTCCCCTTGAGGGGAGATATTGATGGTAGACTCACCATGCCCTGATGGTAGATGTAGTAGAAATATTGATGGTAGACTCACCATGCCCTGGTGGTCGATGTAGTAGAAATATTCTCTCTGTGTAGGACCAGGCGACTGTCCCTGCTGGTACTCAACATCGCTGGCGGCGGAGATTGAGTGTTGACGTGATAAACTCGGTTGAGCAGATATCAAAACTTCACTTGGATGTCTTGGTGAGATTAAATCTTGCTTGCCGAGAGGATGTGTAATGTTCCATTTATGTTTCCATTGCCGACGTTTTGCAGAAGCAAGACTAATACGACGCAACGAGCTTACACGTCTAGGTGCCTCCAATCCAAGCAACTTCACACCAGAATCAACGGCCAAAGAATGAAAATTCCTTACATGGAAAGTAAACGGTTTCAGCTTTTCCATTTTTTAACAGCGAATCTGTTTTACATTCAAAAGAAGTAGTATTTTAGGTTCAAAGTTTGTCATCATATCGATTTCCTTCACTGATCGAACGAGTGACTGAATCAATCAGCTGGGGATGATCAACATCAATGAGTATAACTAGTTCCTAATCTATGCAAACGATTTCAATGAGAATTCTAGTGACAGGCTTCCTTGCTATCTGAGAGCACAAAATATTATATTGGAAGTGTTGTTCTAAGGTTAGTTGTAATGTTATTACTTGGAAGTATTTAAGTATACATTCAAAGTATTAGTGCAGAAAACGAGGAAAATAAGTTTACATGATGATAAATTACGAGAGTTGAAAAAGGGTTTGATAATTAACGGAATTGAATGTTCGAGTGCAAAATATTCGCCAACCTTATAAGGCGCCTTCAGGTGAACAATGGCTATCGCACTAGCATGAGCGACGGTAAATCTGAGAGCGCATTTCCCATATAACTAAATATATTTAAGATAAATTTATGTTATTTCCTTCTCACTCCGAGACCAGGGGTCGTGACTCCCCTTACGACTTCTGACCATCAGCTCTAAATCTTTGAAAATTCAAAACTAAAATTCGAATAATTATGATGAGCGGCTGAGTTTAGCTAGAATCGAATTTTCCTAAATCATTCGGTTTCAAGTTTTACCCTCAAACATCATTTTAAAATTTTTAGTTCAATCCACGTGGGAAGTTTTATTCAACTTCTGATCGCGCTGCTTGACGGGAGGGCGACCGATGCACTGCGCACCTCTCTCCCCTACACGCGCACCTCTCCCACTACACGCGCACCTCTCCCCCTACACGCGCACCTCTCCCCCTACACGCGCACCTCTCCCACTAAAATCTCACACGTTTTCGGGCGTCTAACGTCATCACTAGTTCATATAGCGTCACATAAACATGACTACCGTGATAGACTCCCAGCCAAGTGTAAGTTGTGAAGTATCATTCGTTTCTTGCAAGCTGAAGGGTTTTACACGGCTGAAATTACTGTAATGAAATCCGGTAAAAACTTTATGACGGCAAAGCACTGCGTGATAGGTGCAAATGATAAAATTTTGAAGGTCAGGTCGCTCTCGTGGATAGAATTTCTATGCAATGTATAAAGATAGTACAACAAAAATTGAACAGAACGAAAAAAAATAAATAAAAATATTTACCAAGTGCTTACAAGGGATACGCAGTGAAATCCTTACAATAATACGCAATTTCAACTTATTATGATACATCGAACACATGATTGACATGTTAATAGTAAGAAAAAACTCTGATAAAATTCCCAGCATCACCAAAGAGAAGGTTTCAGAAAAATTTCATCATCAGGTCAAAACATACAGGAAAGGGAGCAGGAAGCGAATCATACAACGAAAGCAAAGTGAAAGTTAAAATAATAAGTTAGTTAGTTTAGTGGCCACATGTTTAACAGCGCTTCAGCTACAGTATTTAGCTATCTCGCACCGGAAGTCAAGATGAACATCACCAAAGAGGTGGAAGGTCTCAACTATCGAAAGTTTCTCAAATAGAAAATTGTTCATCACCCACAAGGGGCGGAAGGTCTCAATTGTCCAGCCCGCTGAAGCTGGCTCGAAAGAAGCAGCGTTAGCATCTCAAAGAGACGAAGTGACAAGGAGGGACAGGTGAAAAGCAACAGAAACGAAGACACTCGAACAAGAGGTCGCTTACACGGGACGTCGGCCGCCCGCACGAGAGAGACAGAGAAGGGAAATGTAAGGAATCCTACCTACATAATAACTTAACCCCACAACTGAGACCAACGGTCAGACACCGCGAGCTCAGCGGTGGGGCGCTCAGAGACAATCCCCCTAGGAACGCGAAATCCCATAGCACTTCTGACGCGCACAGACACGCGTCAGAAGTCCCCCCTGAGGGGTTAAAATAATAATTGACAAAAACAATGATGAAATCGGATTCGGTTTGACATTCACTCCCCATAAAATAACCGCTTTCATCCCCCGCAAATCTACGAAAACCTTACAAGAGAAAAAGGGAATTAAAGAATAAATCATATATTGCGAGTATATTTTCACAAATAAGTAACAATTGAGGCTACAGTTTAATGACGAGTCATTACGAACTGCCAAATTCGTACGGAAAAATTCTCAGTCAATACAAAGAATAATAAATGAACACAAGAGAAATTTGGCAAAAGTTTCCTCGGATATCAAGTTAGGAATTAGATTACAAGAAGCGATTGAGTTAAACTCGAAGAACACAGATTGTTTCAACTTGTTGTGGAATTCCTGAGAACTGAGAACGAACGTAGCAAATTGAGTAGTCCAAAATTATCTTATAGTGGCAGGGCAGAATAAATAAATAAAAAATTACCTTTCAATCATGAATAAAAAAATTAATTTTTTTTTCACGAATAAAAATGAATTTTTATCCATGGCAACGGAAAAAACCATTGAGCAAGTATGATAATATTATTCTAAAACTGAAACTGAATGGGAACGGTCGAATGGAATCCAGTACAGTCACATGAATCAAATGACATGAAATCAAAGCATATCAATACAACGGTAATAGAATTCTACAATTAAAACGGTACTCAAGAAGAGTATAACATACAATCTCAAGAGCGTTTACAGTTTGCCACCAAAAAGCGGTATTACAGCCATGAGTAGGAGATGCCTGATGCAGTGTCCATCACATCGGAACTGAAGGTTCCTCAGCATGCCCCCACATGATAATGCCCCGAAACTGCCATGATAATGCCCCGAAAATGCCATGAAAATGCCCTGAAGATGCCATATTTGATGCCGTACTAATGACACGCACGCCACGCATCAATGACCAGAATACAATGGGAAATGTACAATAAACAACATAAAACTTGTATTAAATAACGGCATCACACACACGAGGGATGTATAATGCGAACGTCTTGAGTAAGTCGAAGATATTGCTCAATCAAAAAAAAAAAATTATGCGTTAACGCTGCACTTGTAGAAAACTTGTATTTGAGACCTCCATTAATCACTAAAAGATATCGGCCAATGTTAAACAAATCAACACACATTTACCCAGTGAAAATTTACAGACGCGACAACTTCTGATTTGGATTACCAGAAGCTGGGGCGACTCTAAATTTTGTTAGGGTAGGAGTTCTTCCCAGTGAAAATTTACAGACGCGGCAGCTTCTGATTTGGATTACCAGAAGCTGGGGCGACTCTAAATTTTGTTAGGGGGCACAAATTACTTCAGAATTTGGCTGCACTTAACTAGAGTTTAGTACCGGGCAGAGTGAACCTCTTCGGAGTGTAATGTTAGCGCCTTAATTATTCTGTTTCAGGCTTCAATTATTGTATTAAACTGCAAAATTACCAAACTGATGAATATTCGTCTGAAATAATGAATTAGCCTATGAAATTTGCCCTCATGAGATATTCAATTAACTAATTCCTTTACCTGCACTTGTATTTATAGTTGAACACTACTGACATAGTACCTAGCACTAGTAACACGGGGCATGCGCTAGTTCACTAGTTCCCTGATTCTCAACTGCAACTCAATCCAATGTCAATGGGTTCGTTGCAGGCTTTGAAATGACGAAGTTTTCAGAGGAGCTGCACCAATGCTTTTATTCTACAGTCAATAGCAGGGTTACATCAACAGTCGTAGATACTGCTAATATTATAGCGACATCTATCAAGAATTGACAACATTTTATTAACCCTCTACCGCCTGACATGAGTAACCGGAGCAATATTGACACGCGCCTACTTCCCAAAAAGGACATGTAGTAGTGAGCGCAAAATGACTTGCACTGATGGTTGCCGCCACGTACGACAACTTTAAAATGTTCTCTCTTGCGTACAAACGTCCTCAGGTTGCTACACTCAATAGTTTACGTATAATTTAAGTTGAAAGTTATGTTCTCGGAGAGTGACATACGGCGGTAGAGGGTTTAACAACTGCATGGCTTTAACAAATTCAAATTTTATAATGCCATGACACCGATGTTTTTATCATACATTATATTAGCTTATTAGCTACATCGATACTAGAATTGGAAAATTGATAACAAAATACGCGTTTCAATAATCTCTAGCACACGAAAATAATGATTGCAACAAACTTGATTTTGTTCAAGACACCCAAGAGGCGAAACACAATCACCTTGTCTTCGGTCCATACGCCCTCACCCAGCTCAATGCCTTGTGGAAGATCTCTGGACGTACATGTCAGGACAGCTCAGGATCTCTGGAGATCCTGAGCTGAGATCCTACACGTCGCAGCTCCAGTTCAGGATCTCTGGACGTACACGTCGCAGCTCCAGTTCAGGATCTCTGGACGTACACGTCGTAGCTCCAGTTCAGGATCTCTGAACGTACACGTCGTAGCTCCAGTTCAGGAAGCTCCAGTTCAGGATCTCTGGACGTACACGTCGTAGCTCCAGTTCAGGATCTCTGGACGAACACGTCGTAGCTCCAGTTCAGGATCTCTGGACGAACACGTCGCAGCTCCAGTTCAGGATCTCTGAACGTACATGTCTGGACAGTTCAGGATCTCTGGACGTACACGTCGTAGCTCCAGGCCCGTTTGCCGGCCTGTATGACGGGCGAGGCTTTGACCACAACCCGTTGTGTGTCTGCAGGGAGGTGGTCGGGTACAGGGATGCTAATGTAGCCTGGGGTAGAGGATGTAGCGCTGCTTCTCGGGACCTGCACTACCCGCCTGCCCGACGCGAGGTCAACGTATATCTGACTTGGGTCGAAATAATACGAGACGGCAGCATCCACGGGCGCCGGTGCGGGCGCAGGCTGGTAAATGCTGCGAGTGGATGATGGGCGCTCTAGGAGAGCCGGAGAGCCAGAGGAATGCTGTACAAAGGCGGGAGTGAGAGACTGCTGAAGAAAAGCGGGAGTGAGAGACTGTTGATTAAAAACGGGAAAAGCTGATTGTGTAACGTAAGCGGGAGGAACAGACTGTGTAATGTAAGCGGGAGGAACGGACTGTTGAAGAAAACCAGGAGAAACTGACTGTGTAATGTAAGCGGGTGCAACAGACTGTTGAATAAAGGAGGGAGAAGATGGCTGTGTAATGTAAGCGGGAGATGGTGACTGTTGAATAAATGTGGGAGATCCAGACTGTTGAAGAAGGGCGGAAGAAGCTAACGGTTGAAGAAGGGCGGAAGAAGCTAGCGGTTGAAGATGGGCGGGAGAAGCTGACTGTGTAATGTAAGCGGAAGGAACAGACTGTTGAATGACGGAGGGAGAAGTTGACTGTCGAAAGAAAGCGGGAGAGGCAGACGATCGACGGAGAAGAGCAGACGGCACAGACAGTTGACGAACAGCAGATAACGTAGACGGCTGATGGAGAACAGCAGATGGCACAGACGGCTGATGGAGAACAGCAGATGGCACAGACGGTTGACGAAGAACAGCAGATGACACAGACGGCTGATGGAGAACAGCAGATGGCACAGAAGGTTGACGAACAGCAGATAACGTAAACGGCTGATGGAGAACAGCAGATGGCACAGACGGCTGATGGAGAACAGCAGATGGCACAGACGGTTGATGGAGAACAGCAGATGACGCAGACGGTTTGTTCAAAATAAGTGTAGAAGAAGGACGGAAGCAAACAGAAGACGAGCCAGCGGAAGGAAACTCTGACAGGGCGGGACTCAAGGCTGGATTGGAATACGTGCTCTGGTTGGGGATTACGACCAACGTTGAGGTTTCCAAATGGGGCAATCCGGCGAGTCCAGATTCAGTCTCAAACTGTGACGTATAGATAGGAGATTGCATTCCAGGCGATTTATCGGGTGCGTATCGGGTTACCGATGGTGATTTAACGATTAAAGATCTTGATTCGATTTTCAAGGGGTGCCGCTGATCAGGACGTTTCAAGATTTGACCTATTTGGTTATCGGATATCTCTGAATCTTGAAGTTGGAGGTAGCGAGTAGACTGCCCTGAGTGTGACACTGAGCAAGAGCCGATGTGTGCTGAGAGTGGCCGAGACGATGCTACTTGTACCAGCGATGTAGGAGGTGTACTAGTGGCTGCAGAGACTGACACGGTCATATCCTCCCGTAGACTACCTTCGGGTATGGATATCGTGGCTACTCTAGAACTGATATTAACGGAATTAACTGAAGATTGTTTCGATGGTGAAGCAGAAGTTATAGTCTTAGTTTGCTGTTCTTGATGATGAGGAACAACGCTGGTTAGATCAGTGGCCTCGATTGGCGCACCTCTGATGGAGACAGGTTGGCTCTCCTCAGCTATAAGGTTCCCTGAGCTCTGATTTTTATGGAGTGTAGGCACAGTGGAAACGCTAGGACTAGCGGCCCTGTCTGTAAAAGAATTACATTCCGTTTTGCTTGATCCGACGTAGACTGTTTCCGCATGAGCGATGGTCTCAGGAGAATGGCATTGCATGACACACTCTTCGCTGTGGTCCTGATGAATGCGTAATCCGGGATCTTTTATAAGAATGCATGCATTCCCAGCAACTGTTTCCGTACATGGCGGCAAAGAGGGAGGAGTGATTTTGTGTTCTGCGTTATCACATTCCCGGAGATATTTATCATTAGCTTTCAAAGTTTTTCGGAATTTTATATTTTGTGAAACGCTTTTTTGGCCTTCCGTGATTACTGAAGTAATTTTGTTCGGAGCTTCCAAACGCATGTTGAACTCATTTGATGCACAAACGTTGGCAGAACTAACCATGATGAAATTATCTTCTTCCGCCCCAGAAGATGGAGGGGCTTGTATTCTAGGGCGCTTGCGCAAGCTTCGTAGAGAAACTTTTTCAATAAAATTTGACATTTCACGTCTGTTTCCGATTTTCGGCTCTACTGACGTTGAATTACATCCATGAACTTCAAACTCATCGGCTTTGCGTTTGCCAGAGTTCGGGGGCTTAACGAACGTTTTGGTCTTGTCAATTTTCGGTGGAACTGCAGTTTCTAAGCCTGCCAGTTTGCTCGCGTCGGAGACAAGAGTGACGCAAGACGCTGCAAGAACTGATCCTTCTTCTCGCGTTGAGTTTGATACTTCACTCCGCTTCGAGTGTTCGCTATTGATTATTTTATCATCATTTGCAGTTCGAAAGTCATGCGGTGCGGGATTTTTCTGGGATATTTCGATAGGATAGTTTGCAACAACGGACTCGCTCGTATCTGCAGCCTTGCCTACGTCTGCATTATTTTTATCTAGAACTTTTCTAGTGGGTTTTCTGTTTATTTCACAAACATACTCGGGCCTCACGTTGTTCGTTTGGATCAATTTAGTGGCACCTGCATCTGTATTAGTGCCCACTATTACTTCACTTCTGGCATTTCCGGTTTGTTTCACGGAAAAAGTAAACGAATTGCTGTGTTTTTCATCAAGGGAAACCAAACGGTGAGTTTTAGGCTCATTTGAAAATGTAATGTCTTCTCGCGCTGAACTTCCTACAGCCTTGTAAGCATCCTGCAACTTATAAAAACCCTTGTCTTTGCCGTACTCAGAACCTGCCTGAGAAATGTCTCTGTTATGCTGTACATTGTTCCCGGCAGAGACTGTATCAACATTGTTCCCGACAGAGGCTATATCAGCATTGTTCCCGGCAGAGACTGTATCAGCATTGTTCCCGGCAGAGACTGTATCAGCATTGTTCCCGGCAGAGACTGTATCAGCATTGTTCCCGGCAGAGACTGTATCAGTGTTGTTCCCGACAGAGACGGTATCAGTATTGTTCCCAGCAGAGACTGTATCAGTATTGTTCCCGGCAGAGACTGTATCAGCATTGTTCCCGGCAGAGACTGTATCAGTGTTGTTCCCGACAGAGACGGTATCAGTATTGTTCCCAGCAGAGACTGTATCAGAATTGTTCCCGGCAGAGACTGTACCAGCAGGAGCAATATTTCCATCGTATTTAAAAATTTCAGACTCTTTACTTCTGAAGTTCGCCGAGTCAGTAAGAGGGAGGCCTCGCGCAGCTCGAAGTCGAATTTGACTGAGCGACGGCTTAACTTTCGGGGCGATTTTTATTTTTGTACGCCTCATAATTGTGTTGTTGACGGGCATGTTTACGACCGGTGAACTTGTGGATAACGCGGTAGAGTTTGTGCCAGTTATTGCAGTGGTTGAGGGGACTGATGATGTTCCAGGAATAGAGATTGCGCTGGGAGTGCTGCCATCATGCTTAATTATGTCTCTAATTTCGGTAGCAATTGTATTGGCTGATAGCCTGGCGTTAGTTGTAGACCCAACGCCATTACAATGCGCAGGCGCAGTGGCAGGAGGCGCAGTGGCAGGAGGCGCAGCGGCAGGAGGCGCAGCGGCAGGAGGCGCAATGGCAGGAGGCGCAGCGGCAGGAGCCGCAGCGGCAGGAGGCGCAGCGGCAGGAGGCGCAGTGGCAGGAGGCGCAGTGGCAGGAGGCGCAGCGGCAGGAGGCGCAGCGGCAGCAGCCGTAAGAACTGCTGATGAAGCATCAGGCAGACAGGTCAATGATTCATCCAACCAATAAGAATTCTTTCCAGTTACTCTATCAGAATCTTTTTCACTCATTGCAGTAACATGTGTGTCATGAACATCACAGGAAACTCTTGTGAGGGGCTGGATCTTGTCCAGCTCCAGATTTAAAACCTTTCCAGAAGTCAATTTTAGAACCTTTTCTTCATTCACTCTTCCCACACCGGAGACTGTATCAGCATTGTTCCTGGCAGAGACTATATCAGCAGGACCACTTTCATCCAGAACTTCATGCAAACATTCGTTCTGCTGACCATCCGCGTCTTTTAAAACTGAACGTTCTTCTTCAATGTGTTTGGGTTTGATTGCCTCCAAGCACCCCTCCTGTTTAATTTGCTTTGTACCGCCGTCCACGGAGACATTGTTCGTATTAGTTCGCATTTCCCTTGCGGCATCATCGTCCGCTTGAAATGCATTGTCAATCGTAGGCGGATCCATGGTCTGACTACCGGGATTTTTGAGAAAAACTATAGATGAATTAGCAGGAGCGTCCAAATGGTGGTTTTCATTTCCCAGTTTTTCCGGGAATAGCTTCAAGTCGGCATTGCTCCCAGTGATAGCACTAGGTAAACTTTCTTCGCTAATAGCGCTGTCGGAATTATCACCAGTTGAATTAATACCGGAAGAATGCACACGGTGCATTGTCATGGAACATCCTTGAGCGTGTTTATCACCGGTAGCCTCAGCATCATCGGTTTTCTTGTAAAGAGTCCCGTTACTTACCGAAGCAGTAGAAGTTTCATCTAACATTGTTGTATTCATGACTCCTCGCACTGTTTTCTTGTCTTTGGTATTTCTATGTTCGCGGCCTGATTTGGAAGCAGCGGAGCCAAAACAACTTGCAGAAGTAATGTCATCGCGAGATCCAGGTACGAGTGCTGTACGTTCAGAAATTTTTCTACCACAATTCTTTGAAGAAACTTTATCATCACAAGGTGTGACTTCACATGAACAAGGGCTAGAAATTCGTTGTTGAAAACACGAAGATTCGCACGCATGAGGAGCTGTGAGTTCGTGTGAGAGGACTCCATGGAGCTGAAGTGTGATCGTGGACTCAGAGGCTTCCATGACTCGCAGACGATCCGTGTCCTTCAGCACAGAGTCCTCATCGTCTGATGAAGATGAGACGATCCTGATTCTTCTCCTCCTGTTACAGCGTTTGACTGCGACTTTCGGGGAGCTTTTTAGGGCTTTTTTACGAACTTCCGAGGATGCAATCCGACTTTTGGAGGTTTTATTCTGAACATTGGATGATTGTTTACTAATTGAGGTTTTATTCTGAACATCAGATGATGGTTTACGAATTTTTGAGGGAGTAGCGGAACAAACCGAGACGGTATCACGGCTTCGCTTGGACGTTCTACTTCTTTTCGCCGATATTTCAGAATTTGTTAGCGACGGTTCAAGCTTATGGGGAAATTTTTCATCCCTAGTCGTGGGTTTGTCCCCTGAATCCACCGGGGAGTTAATTGTATTTTTCAAGGGACCTGAGCACTGTGGTTCTAGTGAGAAATTGTCATCGCAATCGCGATGTGATGATGGCTCAGCAATCACAGAATGACTCTTAGACACCACAGAAACGTCCAGCGATACATCTGAAACATATACGAAAATTAGTAGTGAACTATACATCGAACAATACATTTTTTACTAAAAACAACATTAGTTACAATATATTTAGAATGATAATTAACAATAAATTAGAAACGACTTTTCAGCGCAAAGACCGACATAAGCGCTCATGGTTCTGTCACCTGCTAAGACTGGACACCGACGCTCATGGTTCTGACCAAAGACTAGTTTGTAAGATTAGCGACTGGCTTATAGGAATAGTGAATGATTTGGAAGAATAGCGACTAGTTTTCAAGACAAGTGAATAGTTTGAATAACTAGTGAACAACGGAGGCACTTAGTCAGCAAACAGATGCTCCCTCAGAAGCAGCTGGCACCAAAATCGTTAGAGCGGCTCACTACTGTTAAAGTTCCACTACGTACATCCAAACCTAAGTACGCAAGACACGATCACAATAACAAGCTAGTGCAATGGATAGTGGCAGTGCACGTAATTGAGCAAAGTGGTACCCACAACCTGTCATGGCCACACACAAGTGCAAAGTGGACAGGGAATTATAATTTATCCACTCAAATACACTGGGTAGATTTATGCCTGTACAAACATGGCTAAAATTTTCCTAGAAAGTTGCCCAGACTATGGATCTGATGGATTACTCAAAGCCATTACAGCTTCTACATCAATACTTGCTTCGCTTTTTTCATTCATTGTTGGCATATACATATTATATTTCCCCATAAAAAATTATCAGCACGAAAAATTACATCTTCACTATTAAATGAAAGTAAAAAAATAAATACAAAGCATATTTTTTATAGAAAATAAATACAATGATTCAACAATAAAAGATTTAAAATAAATTTTGCGCACCGAGCAGGTCGAAGCTGGCAGGGCAGGCGGCCGAGTCTTCCAGCATCGCAGTTACGTTGTTGGCCCTCATCACTGCACCCTCATCATCCCCCGCCATCCTGTGTGATGACATCACCACACATCATCACTGCGCCCTCATCATCCCCCGCCATCCTGTGTGATGACATCACCACACATCATCACTGCAACGTCATCATCCCCCGCCATCCTGTGTGATGACATCACCACACATCATCACTGCGCCCTCATCATCCCCTGCCATCCTGTGTGATGACATCACCACACATCACCACACCTCCATTCTCATGCACCCAAAATTAAGCTCAAAAATAAGATAATTTAAACAAATGAGAAGATTTAAATCATCAGAACAGAAAGCAATTCTATAATTCAATGAAAAACTAATAATGATCAGATTTTGGCATTGAGAGTGAAAATAAGAGAATAAGTTGTAATTAAACATAAAAGTACGACATTCAATTCTGAAAAAGATAACGGCACTCATCTAGTGAAAAATACTATGTTATTATCAGGAATAGTAGCTATATACATAATAAATATCAATACAAATTTAGAGCATAATCAGTAATTGTAAATTTCGTCATAATTATGCAGAGAAAATTGGATAATTTGATTGGATTTGATTCTAATTTTAACTTTGAAATAGCATTGAATCTAAATGTAATTGAAGAACAACAGTTGAAAAACTTTTCTAACTTATTCAAGTTGTTACAAATAGGGTTTCCATTATAACGCAGTGCATTACAAAGAATAACAATAAAAAAATCTCAAGATAAGAGTTGGCTTGAACTTAAGTTCTTCTATGCAGGCTTCATGGTCAGTTAGTAATGGACTTTGTGTCGTATAGAAAGAATCAGCATGAATATCTAGCATTCGGATTCTATTGTTAAACAATACTGTTAAAACAATGCACAAAATTGTTGTTATTCAAAAACAATTTACAATATTGTTTAGAACAAATATTGTGTATTGTTTCGTATAGAAAGAATCATCATGAATATCTAACCTTGGGCTAAGCATAGTGCACTATTTAGAATACTTGTGTGTTGTTTGACTGAATTGGGTTGCAATAGGGCTATTTATGATGGAAAATTATGATAGAAACAATTTCACTGCAGACTTATGATATATGATCAAATCTTTTGATGTGAATCAAATGCAAGATTAAATAGAAATGCGGTGAGAAACTGAAATTTAATGATTATCTCGGACTTAGGATAGAAAAAATAAATGAAATTTAAATAAGATCAACAATACACAGCAGGATATTTGAAGGAAATCAATGAGATTGATATCTCACAATGAAGTTCACATCTCATTTTGATTACTCACTCGAGGTCAGAATCTTCTACACTTTGTCCATCAGGATGTGGTGAAGAGAATAGGGACCCATCCTCCATGGTGTGGTCCACTTCACCACCATCACCCTCCATGGTGTGGTCCACTTCACCACCATCACCCTCCATGGTGTGGTCCACTTCACCACCATCCTCCATGGAGTGGTCAACTTCACCACCATCACCCTCCATGGTGCGGTTAACTTCACCACCATCACCATCCACCAAATTGCAAGGTTTTTCCTCATTTATAGGCTTGCCTACGCTGGTTTCTACGATTGACGGATCTGTATTGCATCTACTTTCAGTATTGTTCGAATTCAAACCTCCTTCAAAATCGGCATCAGAGTTTGAAGTGTTGAAACATTTTTTCCCGTCACCATTGACTAAGTTCACGATGTCTCTTTCATTCTCGACTAATATGTCTCTAAAGTTCTCATCCGAAGAACTTTTTCTTTCTGAGTTTTCCGCAAGGAAAAGGTTTTTTCTGCTCAACAAGCAAGGGCCTTCTTCTTTTCTAAATAATGATGGGTGATTCTGGGTTTTCTTGGTACTTCGTTTAGTTAGCTTTATAGACGTGGCTAATACATCGGGGGCAATATAATCAGCATCATCATCAGACATCTCAATATCGGACGGCAAACCTGTAAATTGGTCGTCCATATCATCATTTTGTTCGTAAATAGTAACACGTTGCTTGCGAACGCGGCCACTACGTCGGACTGGAATGATCTCAGCTTCTGTTGGAGTGCTGCTCAAACTGGGAGCCTGGTCCTTGATTCTTGGAGTCCGGCTTTTTGTGCTTTTTCTTCTCAAATTAGTGGCTTTTGAAGAAATGGCCGATTTACTGGCATCATTTCCGACCGATTTTTTCTTTCTGTTGTTACTGCTCTTGTTTTTTCGCTGCAAAGTTCTATTGACTACAAAGTTTTCTTCTGACACAACATTAGAAACATCTTTGGTGGCATTTGGGATATTTCCTTTGTCGGCAGAGGCATTTTGACAGTCAGAAAAAGTTGCATTTTTTCCAGCTATTTCGTCCTTGTTCTCACTCGTCTTTGTTTTCCTCGGACGGCCTGAAAGATAAACATAATTATTACAAAGAAAACTCTAATATAACCACAATATGATTTTCAACTGAAAATTCTAAAAATTTAAGAGGCAAGCGTTGAACTATTGATTGATGCACAAGTGATACCCTGAAAGAGTCATAGCACTTATTTAGGTATTAAACTTTGAATGCAATCTGTTTATTTCCTGATGCATTTAAAGATAAAAGTACAAATATTTATTTTTAACCCTGTAGGCATACCAAGACACCAATACATCACAATGATCTTTGAGTCATTCCATGTCAAGTGTACCAAAGGTCCTCAACTCAATCACCCATTTGTGACATTTTACGCTCAGGTTGGTATATATTTAAAACTTATTTTGCTGAAATTTCGGCTCAAAAATGAAAACATTAGACTCACAAGGAGGGAGAGGTGAAAATGTCCCTATAATTGCGCGGTGCCAATGATTTCACAATAAGTGATGGCTGTAAAACTTGGAGTAGCGCTTCCAACAGAACGAGTCTGACATCTCAATAAATAAAATTTTACGAGTAGAATAAAGCTTAATTTATGCAATACCTCTGTAATTTATGCCATCATTTTTTTTCAAAAACACTGAGTCTCGTGCGGGTATGTTTTTTTTTACAGAATCTATAAGCTGAAATTAGGCTTCTTTGCCAAATGGACACAGGAGTAAACTTCAATTTTGCTGTTGGAGCCAAGCTTCGAATCAATTGTCCAAAGCTCGAAAGTAAGAAAAAGACTTTTTGTTAATTCAATATAATTACTAACAGATCATATTGAAGTTGCATTGGAGTAAAATATGTTGCTGGAACGTTAGTAATTATTTGATCTTCTGGAACCCAGCAAGAGTTGATTTGCACCAGCCAACAGGATGATCAAGGCGAACTCCTGGTAGTGCGTCGAAATCGAGAACGACGATTATCCACATGCACTCTCATCTATCTGTGAACCATCATGTGGCTTCGAAGTCCAAAGTATGAGGCGCAAGGCCTGTGGAACAGCCCTAACAAAATTTAGAGTCGCCCCAGCTTCTGGTAATCCAAATCAGAAGCTACAGGGTAAGGTAAGCACGACAGCAGCTTGGAGAGGCGCAGCCTGCAGCTCGGGGCCGGTCATCAAGCGCAGCGGTATATCGCCGACGTCGATCGGCTTCAAAGACAAGGCAGCATCTTCGACGTGGCAAGCCTGATGCTTCTGTCAGAGGCAGCATTTCCAAGTTGCTTCGGGCTTATGCTAATTCACTTCAAGTTTGACTTTATTTGGTCCGTGAAATGAGCCTCTCGCTAATGCCCACAGACAGGTCAGACAGCCGCTTGAGCAAAGTGGTCGTGATGGCCAAGCCAAAACTACGAACTCTACCTTTTTGCAGGTCTACTTATACAGAATCCGGAGTATCCAGCAGTAGGTTCGATGAGAAATCCATTTTCCGACAAACGTGTTTTGCTCAGGGCCGAAAAGTCGATAATGTATCGTACCAGTTTTCGGCCGACCAAAGTTGTTCTTTTCTCAGGCCCAATGGTATTATCTCTGTTTATGTTCTGACTGTTTCACGCTCCTTGAAGGGACCCTTTTTTGTTTGTTTCCCTTTTCATTTTATTTCGACAGCTTGAAGGGTTGACCTGCCAGTAGCGGTGTGCTGGCTGCGGGGTGGTAGAACAGGCAATGTTTGGGACAACTTTTCTAGTCCCCTGCCTTAATTAACGTGAGCACTGCAGTCTTAAAGAGGCCTGGTCAGTTGCCCACGATGCTGCCGGACGTCTCTGCTGCCCAGAGTATGGAGCCGAATGACCACTGGTCCGTGGGTAGCCTACGTGCAGGAGTGTAACTACAACTACCACTGGTCACCTCCACCTCTTGTGTCGCCACTCGCCCATCGCCGCAGGTCTTCAGGATAGTTTGGAATAAATGGATGTGCACAATGACACTTGTACGTGAGGGAGATTCAAGTGGAAAGGTCGGTGCACAGAACAATATCACTATCAGAGGTAGTCTGCGGTCAATATCAAAATAGGTAGTCTGGGTCATGAAGAGTCGTTATGCCTGGACAGTGGGCACTTCCTCAGCTGCACTGGAAACCGTGTTGTCCTCTGTACTCCGAAATGCTCTGTGCACTCCACATTGCTTTGCTGCATCACCATCAGCCATTGAACCGGCTTTTTAGTTTCTTCCGCCTGATCCGATGAGGCAGCCTTCACATGCTGGGTCTCATGCTACCTTCACGGCGTTCACCGGCCTGTAGAACCCATGTAGCAGCAGCCAGGGGTATGGCTGCTGCTGGGAGCCATACATGAGAGCTGAGTGTCAGGGGATCTGAGGATGGGGACCAGAGGGTGGGGGTCTGAGGGTGGGAATCTGAGGGTGCCCCAGAGGGTGGGGACCAGAGGGTGGGAACCTGAGGATGGGAACCTGAGGATGGGGACCTGAGGGAGGGGACCTGAGGTGGCGAGCTGCCCTGGAAGGGTATGACAAGCACCTCATAGAGAGGTGCTACATCTTCCTGAGCACCCATACGCCCTGATGATGGTCTCAATCCTCCCGAAATGTCGAGCCGAAGCGCGAGAGGGCATAGAGCAGGTAACATTGGCCAAAAAATGTATTTTGCCACAAAGTTTATGGGACAATAGACCATCAACAGTTTGAGTCTGGGGTCTAAGTTTTAAATGACAGTGCACTGTATGAAGCGACAAGTGATCAATGACAGTGCACTGTATGAAGTGACACGTGATCAATGACAGTGCACTGTATGAAACGACAAGTGATCAATGACAGTGCACTGTATGAAATGACAAGTGATCAATGACAGTGCACTGTATGAAACGACAAGTGATCACTGACAGTGCACTGTATGAAGCGACAAGTGATCACTGACAGTGCACTGTATGAAGCGACAAGTGATCAATGACAGTACACCGTATAAAGCAACAAGTGATCAATGACAGCACACCATATGAAGCGACAAGTGATCAATGTACCAGAGTTAGTTAGCTGACGGCAATCCTTTCAATCATTCATCCTGGATGAAATGTTGCCCCAGAATCTATGATGGAAAATAATGATGGTTACACTTGTGAAATTTGGATGAGCAAAGAAGATCACATCACCAACAATTCAGCAACATAATCTTCATCAATGGGACACCATCATATTCTGTTACCAGAAATCAGGTGTAACTAAGAGAATAATTTTCGATTTCCAAGCTATGAACATTGAATTGCAGGCTTTGATCCCACAACAAAATTGCAGTTCTGGGACTATTTGGTGAGTAAATAAAGCTTAAAGCTTTAGATCATATAAAAAAAGTCACCATTGCAACGAGTTGATCAAATATGATATTTGAGTCGAACTATTAAGGGTAGCTTTTAGCTGATAGCTACCAATTGAAAACTGGTCATCTCCTGGCCCCAAGCATTGATTAGAGATCAAATTTTTGTGGTCAAAACCATGAATCCCATGAGAACAATTTAAATATAAGTATATAACATTCTATTGCCTGTAACACTGTAGGAAATGCTGCTTAAGCCTTGATTATCTTTACAAAATTGAGGAATAATAAAGTGGGCAGAGGAGTAAGCAGGAGGAGGAATAAGCTCATTAATTTAAATTCCACTGTCAGTATCATTGCCATCAATATCTTCATTTCTGGGATTTTAGACTGAAATTTGAAATGTAGGCAGAGTTTTTTTTAAACATAAACCAACAGTCATCTAAATTATTAAAGGTCAGGTTGGGTCGATTGGCAAAAATTGGTACACATGATAAGGAAACACCATTTGGCTCATTAACCCACTAATACATTACCTATACAAGTTAATCCACTAACACATTATATGTCCTATGAACCTCAGCATTTAAAATTACACTTTAAAATGAATCACAATAAAATAAATAAAGTAACCTGGCTTTCTTTTCTTTGAACTGGCTTGAGCTGAAACTCTGCGTAGGACCTTTTTCCTGGCCTTGTCATTAGCTTTCTGCAGCTTCTTGACGTCTCGCTGCAGCAGCTTGGCGTGCTGAGATCTCAGCTGCTGCTGCAGACGTTTGTGCTTGGCAATTTCCTTGCGCTCAGCTGCCTTTTCCTTCAGCCTCTCGCCCTCTGCATCAAAGTCTGCACATTGATTCTTATTAATAAATTATTTTTGACAAAAAATGGACAAGTTAGAGTTCTGTATTCTACAAAAATTCTCCTGCACATCAAGCTTTGCTGAGATGTTATAAACAGTCAAGGATTATGAAATATTGTCTGGCGTATTATATACAAATTATATAATTATGTTATATTATATACAAATATTAGTTTGGATTCAAGGAATTGAGTGAAAAAATTGTCATCTCAAGTTTTAAATGAAAGAAGATACTGTGTATACCTATTAAAGACAACTTAAAAAATTTTTTCAAGTTGAACAGGTAAACAGTTTAGAAGTTAAACAGTAGTTTCTGAGTAAATGAGCTTCCTTGATATAGCTATTAGCTCACTGTAATAAAACCTCGAAGGTGTTAACTGAAAGCTATTACATTTGATTTCTGCCAAGTAATTGATGGGGAAATGAATGTAATTGAACACCACTAAACAAAGTAACAAATATGAATCATGATGCCTAATATTGCATAAGGACTGCAGGGTGCAAATCAATTTGTAGGCAATAATGTTGAGAAGAAAATTATATGTACCTGTCTTACCAATGTCAACTGAAGCAGTTGACATGCTTATCCCATGTCTTCTGACAATGCCACACTGCATGGGTAGATTGAAACAAAGAACACAAAAACATGGTCAAATAAATAAGATACAGTAAACAATTAAAAGTTTAAAACCAATATGAAGTGTGGAAAAAGACTCACCAGGCTCTGACTGGAAGAGAGTCAGGTCATACTGAAGATTATCTGATACAGCAGCATCAATAAGAGATTTATTGACTCTCTCTTCCCTCTTGAACTTCATCTTGAGTTCTTCTCGTGTACGCCCCTTGAAGAAGAGGTTTTGCATGAGTGAGAAATCAGTTCCAACAGTAGATAATGCCTTGTAGAAGTGAGCTATCTCCTTTGCAGTCCAATCAGAAGGACGTTTACGCTTTTTTGTAAAACACTTTGTTGTGTTCTCAGACTCTATTACAACCTCAGAAGAAATGGCATTCAATCGTTCTTCATCAACCGAAGTTTTGATCAATATACTCTGCTGGTCAATAATTAGTTCTCCATTTGGCCCAATCTTCAGTCTGGGTGCAAGAAAGTCAAAATCTTTAGAATTTTCATCAGTTTGTTGATCACTTCCAAGAGGCAATGCGTCTTCAGGAGCCTTGCAGGAAGAAGTCCCAGAATCCAGAGAATCTGCATAGAGAAGTCTTGACTTTACATGACATTCACCATTGGCTGCCACATCATCTATTGCTTCTTCACTCAATTGCTGCTCCCCTGCACTTGGCATTGCACTGCTATCCTCTGAAATGCTGTCTTGGCTTTTGGATCGGCGTTTTGGCAAGCAGATGGGCTCTTTGCCAGGCATAGGGCTTGTGGCTGGATTAAAATAAATCAAATCAAACATAGTCAGCTTTTTCTCCAGTTCACCATCATTTAACTTGTTACGAAACTTTTGTTTACGTGTGTGGAACACACAATTCTCTTCAGTCATGTCATGAGAACTTACAGAAATTGAATCACTATCAACACTTGATCTAGCAACATTTAAATTCTCTTTATTGGCCCTGTCATGTGATAAGACATTTTCATGCACTGCTGATGTAGTTAACCGATTGTATTTTGTAGAAGAGAGCTGATCATCTGTCTTTCTTGAAACAGATATAGTATCATTTTCAGGTGGCAGTGCAAGTTTGTGATTTATTTCAGATGAATGCTTTGAAGGAATTTCTCTTGCTGGTTGAGGCTCATTTTGGATATCATGTGTTATGGTTTGTTTTTCAACAACCAATTTAGTGCCCTCTCTCTTAATTTTCAGATTGGGTTTGACTGTTCGAATTGACCAATGTGGTTTCTCTTTTTCATTAGTTGCTGGTAAAATTCCATGATTGATTTCTATGAATTGATCTTGCATTAAGGTTTCAGTTGAACTAAACAACTTTGATGTTTCACTTGATTGAATTAAAGAACATAAATCACTCTTTCCCTTATTTGATTTTGAACTAAAAGCATCCCCTGAAGTACTTTTGTGTGATAGTTCATCTGGCTTAGATACAGAGTCAGGGGTCTGCACAGACTCAGTACAAACATCCAAATTTTGTTCTTCAACATTATTATTTCCATTTTCTGCTTGAAGCCCATTGATTAATGGAATTGTAAATTCAGGACTGGAGGGAAGTATTGGAATTTCCAAAGAGGAAGTATTGGAATTTGAACTAGCAAAAATATCTGATGGTTCAGGAGCAACAAAAGAGGTTGTATCAATACTAGTGTCACAAGGATGGCTCAAATTTGATGGATGAGATCCAAGTTGAGTGGATAGAGCCTGATTACAGTCCTCATGTTGAATAATTGTTGATGGATCCAACAAACATGAAGATTCTTTGGTAGACTGAGAATTTCTAGGATTCTTGATATCTTCTGAAGATCTGGTATGGGATTGTGGAGATTGACATTGAACCGACTGGGATTGTGCTGTTGAAGAAATAAGGTCTTGAGGTGTACTACTTTTCTGCTCAACCGTTCCTGATGTATCAAGTGAAGAGTTATTCTCAATTTGCAATTTGGGTGCCACTACTTTAGGCATGAACTTCATTTTCATTCGCCTCATTGTGCCACTGATTTTAAATTGACCTGGTAACACAAATTATTTGTATGATACAGCTGCCAACCAAGCCTAAAAAGTAAAAGAATTAATAAAATTAATAACATTGGTAGGTACATTGATTGTCTCCATGCTCAACAACTATGTATACCTAGCATAATATAATGAAAGAGGAGATGCTCAGTGCATTCTGTTCAACAGTTCTGCTCTAAATCAGTTCATCCAGGAGCAAAATTCTACTTGACTGTTTTAATGCAAAAAAAAAAAAACTCAAGCCTATTTACTCTAGGCAAAAGCAAAATTTATCCAGTCCCAATGATTGATGAAGGAAAAATGAAATTTGAACAATTAAGTGATATATGTTGAGGTTAAAAGGTAACCTCAACAGTTACCAATTAATGAATATGGTAATATCATATCAATAAAGGAAAAACAAGTAAAAATCACAGAAAATGTCATTTATTTTACATCTACATCATCTACAATGAAAGAGGACTTCAGAGTACTGTTAGTAATGGATGAGTACACTCTGCATGCTTCAAATGCTTTAAAATCAACTTTTATTGCAAGTGTCCCAGATTACCCCATTCCCAGGGGTAAATCGGGACAGTTATTTTGCGTCTGGCACCATACGAATAGCATATGGATTTTCTTTGAATATGCCATTCGATAGCCCTCGCAAAGAGCTATATAATGAGCCTAAACTTGTTTCTAAAATGTTTCATGGTAAGAAGTTATCAACAAAAACGCTCAAAACCATCCCTTTTTACCCCGTTTGACGGTATAGCATTTTTTCTTTATCTGTAAGCTTACAGGATGGCTTGTAATTTCACACCATTTTAATTGGGTTAAGTGAATTTACTATAAAAAAAGATTGTGAAAAACATACCATACCTGAAACAGAAAGGAATGTTTTAGTGACAACCATCATATGTTTTGGAGAAATAAATCATAGTTTAGGATAAATACTTTTCATCCTATGATGCCTGGTGCACAATTCTATATATGACATTCTATGCACAATTTTGTGATGACCGATGATGCACTAATTTTTTGATAAGCAAAATTTTTTTCGCTGAGCGAGGTAAACATAATCAATATTCTTTGTTTTTAATCAATTATTTTCTCAAGTGGAGCCTTTGCTAACTGAGGTTCTACTGTAAATGCGTTTTTGGGGGTGTCCCGAATAGCCCCGGGGGCCGGGAGGTGTCCCGAGTAGCCCCGCCGTGCGGAAATGGCCGTCATTTTTTGGGGGGATTGAGGTATGTAAATTCCGCAAATAAAGTTTTCATGCTGACACTTGTCTGCCACTTTTTTCTAAGCAAAATTTTTTAATACGGCAAGTATTTTTTTTAATACAGACCTTAGCAGAAGTAACTTTTCAAAAATATGGTTTTTCACCATTTTTTCAGGAATTTCTCAAAGCTAGTATATATATATATATATACAGGATATGTAGCATTTTTGAACGTCCTTTACACTACATATATAGGAAAAATGTTGACGTTTATTCCACTATATTTAGTTTTGCAATATTCCAATTAGTTTTGCTACTAAAACAGTTTTATGCCGTGTCGGAGGACTGTCCCGAGTTACCCCGGCCGTCCCGGCTAGCCCCGGTTGACGGTACTAATATTTTGGTGTAGCAACGGTGTCTAGTTCTCGCTGCGTTAGAGTCTGAATGAACAATTCTGCACCTTTTAGTAATTCTAGTTCTATTGTCTCATGCCCAGCTCTGTATAGGATAGGATTTCTTTCTGTAATATAGGACGTTGGAAATAGTGTTCTTGTGTCTAGTTCTGCATTTGGACAGCATTTCAATAGTTTATTTCTTTAAAGTATAGAGGTTTTAAAATCTTTTCATGTGTTGTCATCATTGATTCAGTAGGAGAACCTAGTCACGTGTCCTTTTGTACCACTTGGAAAATTAGGAAATTTAATTTATGACCAACCTGAAATTAGACAAGCTTTAAAACTTGACAAGAGGAGTTATGTTTTTGATTTGCTCCTAAAAAGGTACATTGTCAAATTAAAATTAGTGGATAAAATTCCCGTAGGCTTCAAACTTAAAGGTTGAACTTAGTAAATACAAATGCATATTTGTGCAAACGCTTATATCTAGATCAAGCTCAACAAAAAATTAAATGTAATTAACCTAACTCTATTCAAAATTCCATCAATCATATTTTAAAGCCAACACCTATGTGCAACTTTTATGTGAGTAAAATTTTTTGATATGGCAAAATGGGCAAATATTTTTTTGCTGAAGAATTTAGCAGAGGTACATTTCCAAAATCTCACTTTTCACGCTTTTTTCCGAGTTTTTTATAGATAGTAAAAATGTTGAACTTTATGCCATAATGCCACTAGTTTTAATTTTACAATATTTTGATTAGTTTAGCTGCTACATTTCTACAAAATATGGGACAACTGTTTGACATAGTGACAAATCAGTAATTTTTAGAATCAGTTCATTTTAATTTATCTCATTTACTCAAGATTTAAACTAATATTTTATGTATGATGATGCTGGTATCCATAATACTTTGGTGGTCTACTTAAACAAGCAATGAGTTAAATTTGAACTTTAAGCCAAGGTGAGTCCAAAAAACTCTCCGCTGGACCGCTTTGCCACTATGCTGAGTGTCCTGATTTATCTTGCCTGTCCCTTATGACCCTGTTTGACCGTATATCAATAATGATAATGCTGGTAGCCTGGTATGAGGGATCTATGATCCATTCCTGGTCTACTTATAAATTAATAATATGCATATTAGCCAATTTGAATTCCTAAGAAAAAAAGCTTAACAATTTTATTTCGTTTTGCACAAAAAAAAAAACATACTAAAACAATTTGGCACAGTCACACGTCTTCCCACCCTCCCCTCTCTCAACCCTCCATTCCTGATTCCTCAAGAGTCAAGACCCCACTCTTAAGTCTCTTATCATCCTCCTCCTCTCCCTCATCCTCCACACGTTTTCCAAATATCTCTTCACACTCTCAAACAAAGCCATACTTGCTCCCTCAGACAGAACCATAATTATTGCCATCCACTCTTTGCTTTTTCTGTCATGCCATACTTTGTTAATCACTTAATCTCATGCTCACCTCTCTCATTCAGAATCACTCAATCTGAGTCAATCACCTCCATCATACTCATAGACTGACGCTCTCTCTCACTCTCAGACTCTCATACGCCCCACATTCCATCAACAAGTGCTCCACACCACAGTTTCCTTCTCATCCCCATGCCCATCACACTGTCACACATAAAACAATTATCTTTCCTACTCTCATTCCACTTGTGACTTGTATGCACATTAGGGTAAACGCGGTATATTCCGTCACATTAAGGACGCATCGAGAAATGAAAAACTATAAAAAAATAACCACATGCATTACTCAAGTTCTGTTTGCTTTATGTGACTCTCAAAACACCACACTACGTGTCAGCAACAACGAAACGTCACAAAATGTTGCCATATTTATTTAAAAGCCTTTAGAATGCAAACCTACCAAATCCCTATATTCCGTCACTGTGTGTGGCAATATTCGGCACGTGGTGAGGCGTATTCCGTCCGCGCTTCAAATTCTACTGATACGTAATGCCGTCATCCACGTGTTTGAATTCCGTTCGCTGTGTGAGCTGTATTGGAATACAACACGGCTTTGAATTAGAACACTAATGAATATTGAACACTACTTAATTATTCTTTTAATTAACAACTTTTAGGCTTTTAATTAAGCAAATTTTAATTTTTGTACACAGCTTGGAACGATCTGTGTGTGTCCAATTCAAGTTGTGATGGATTAGTTTTCATGTGTCTAAATCCTTTCTCAACTTAATCATCTATTAATTTATTTACCACTTGAAATCAGCATATACAAGTATACTTAAAGGATTCCTAATATATTCACAGACGTATTTAAAAGTCTCAAACCATAATATTCTTCCTATACAAACAGTTAGGCATTCACTATTTGGTAGAGCAAGGTCAACTGTCAAATTTGACACATTTTTCGATGATCTCACTGGGTAGTGTGCATTGTCTCTCTTTGCTCTTTGGATCTCAATATTTTCCCGCTAGATGGCCAAGACGGCAAGACCTAGTGTTTTGGCAGTAGTTTGACACGCAAATGTATGACGTCACCATCAGTGTGGAAATCCAGAGGGGTAATATATTAACTGGTAAACATAGCAAATTGGAAAGCAGGACCCAAAAAACTGGAACGTCCAGCACACTTCCACTTTCACTCCATCATCACTGATGAGTCTCTGCAAGATGCCACAGCTGTTTCTTTGAAAAAAAACAGTGCTTGCATCATCACAGTAACAAGAATCCAATCAACGCTTGAACGCGTCCAACGTAACAGTCACAAGAATCCAATCAATGCTTGAACGCGTCCAACATCACAGTCAAATGAATCCAATCATTGCTAGAATGTGTGCAACGCCAGTCATAAGAATCCAATTACCATCAGAACGCGTGCAACATCACTGCCACTGT